ACAGATCACTAAATTTCAAAGGCCATTGGGTCATGTAGTCTTACATTATTAAACAATGGACATAGAATTTTAGAGTTTTAGCTCATTTAAATTTGTCTGGTTTTGCTTCCAGCTAGCGGTTCATGAAAATTAATTCTTGCAGAAAGGATGTTCTTTTATAGAACTCATATGAAACCCATCTATTTGACTCTCTGTATGTACCACCCTGTACATCCTGTGCCATTCCTTGCAATATTTGCCATGTCATTCTAGGGCCATGTTTTTGGTAGAAAGGAGCTAAATGCTTCTAGCTTTTGTTTCATTGTGAACTCAGAAATTCACGAATCTAGGCAAAAATTCCCAGAGGAAAAAAAAAAGTGCACCAATCTTTTTTTCCAAATAACAAGAAAATACGCTGAGAGGGTTTCAGCTGTCTTTAACACTTCATTTGAGGAAGCATCTTCCATTCTGCCAGGAGCCCTTCTGTCCGACTACTCTAGGGATGATCTGTTCTCTGTACTAATTCACACAGGCGCTAATGCTGCCCTTGGCACCACGTTATCTGGGAGCTAGTACCTAAAGTGGAGGGAAATGGTGAGAGAACTTCCAGCTCCAAGGTACTCTCCCCATTGCCTCCTCCACGCAAGGAAGGGAGGCAAGCACACAACATCCTCCCTGCACAACAATATCCTGCTTTCCCTGGGAAGTAAATCCATGCATTTGGTCCAGAAGGGAGTTGTGGCATGGTTTGGCCATATCTAGGCAAGCAAGGGACCAGCACCCTAGGGCACCCTGTAAACCCTGCTGCTGGCAATTTCAGCACAGCTTGATTCTGATAAAATATTGTACCTTCCAGGAAATTCATGGTTACCCATGCTATCAGCAGCCTTTTCATGGCCCAGACCAATAGAGCTTGGATATTTATCTTTCTCTAATGGGCAGGACACATATAGAGGCTATGCCTCAAGGTAAGATAGTTCTCTGTCTTCAGAAGTGGGGGGTGATGATTTTAGAAATATAAATCGTCATGCATACACCAATGAAGAGAATCGTTACATATAGTTAAGTGCTCCAGGGGAAAAATAATAAAAAAAGAAAAATCTAGAAATGCTTCAAGTGATACGGAGCTGTAAAACAAAACCAAACTTCCAGTTGCTACAGGACTTTAACTAGCCTAATAACAGGAACTTTATGTGACCAAAATCTTTGGATCCAAAACTCATATCCTCACATTACTCCGTATTTTTTTTTTAACTTTTAAAAAAAGGGAGGAGGGAGGCAAAACAGACAGAAAATGTGCTTTTGGACTAGATCGGAAGTTTCAGGTAATCTTATCTTTTTATTTTAACACAAAAATACAGCCTGATTTCAGAGATTCTGAGCACACACCCCTCCCTTCTGGTCTCAATACCCTGAAAATTACTTGGTTCTTTAGTGTGTTTTATAGTGTCCGTTCTTACACTCCTGTGCTTGAAGGATTTGCTGCATGGCTTTGGCTTAGCCAGCCTGAATTTCAGCACATATAATGCTTCCCAGTTAGAAAAGATGCCATGCATTTTTCTGACTTCTGGGCCTGTATCAACCTACCAATTTTCTTTAATACGGTCTGTATCCCACTAAGTATTCCTCTTTCCTCTTTCTTAGTTCATTTTTCTCAAACCTATTTTGCCTTGTTTTCCTACTCTCTCAATACCACTTAGCCACTTAATTCCTCATCCATCACATCCATTTAGCTCACTCTAAGCTGTGCAAGGTATCTCGCTCTCATTATCTTACCCATCCCCGTCCTTGTCATATCATACAAATCCCTCTCAGCAGATTGTAACTGCCTGGCTCCATACCTCTACCCATGTACACCTGCACCTCTAAATCTGCATCAAATCATCTTAATCCCCTCCCCGTTCTGAATTTTTGTATCATAATACTTTCCATAATATCATTCTAGTGAGGCTCTACCTCCACTCAACGACAAAATAACTTTGATTTGCAGTCAAGTTTGCCATAGGTGGGAATTTCACAAAGCTCCAGCCTTGACCTAATTAATGTTGCTCATGATGGAAATGACACTGTCTCTAGTTTGGCCAATACTGACTGCATTTGAAGAACTCCAACTCAGTGAAAAAACCTCACATATCCGTATTGCAGGTTCCTTGGTTCAATCTTTTCGTATCTTTCCTTAATTCTGACTTTATAGAACAGCACTCAAGCGCACGAGGCATGTTCTGCAATGACTCAGTCTCTGGGAAAGAACCTACAAGCACCTATACCACATACGTGATATAAAACTCTACATGCGCAAGAGCGTGCGTCGATATACAGGTATGGCGAGCAACTACTATAGGGCACAGGCTAGCCAACAGGTATTCTGAAGCAGGTGATACTGGGCTGGCAAGTTACATTTTACTATGTCTGGTCCCCAGCCAGATCCACTTGTGCTGTAAATTGAGAACCGGTCACACCAGAGAGCCACAAACCTAAATCCCCTTGCTGTATCCTTCCTCATCCATGGGAAACCATCATGCCCACAGAGAGGAAAAGAAGCTGCCTGCAATGGTTTCCTCCCACCCGCCCAGTCCCTTAACAACTAACAATGTACATTTGATGCTTTACGTGAAAAAAGGAGGGGTTGGAGGTAGGATACATGAGGGGAGCAAATCTGGAAAGTCATCTTTCACTCAGCTGGCTTTCAGGGCAATTCACTGCAATTTGGGTCCATCCTTCACCATCTCACCAGGAACTCAAAAGGTAACAGAACTACTCCCTGTGGGCTTTACCATTAACCTCTGATTTTCTCATAATTTTTTCTGAAATGCCACAAACACCAACTTTGATGCTAAAGACATATTCCTTTCCCAACCCCCAGAACCAAGAAGAGGAGCTAATAACTGCCAGAATCAAAAGCTGGAAACATTTCTCTCTCTCCTACTTGCCTTAAGGAGGAAATGCTCCCCCACTAATGATAAATACTCTCCTTTAAAACAACCAGAATATTTCTCACAAATCTTCCAAATTAAGCTTATCGGTTTACTTATTCCCTGAAGAGCATTTGAGCAAACTACTGCTAGTGGGCCAAAAAGTTATATCCCAGAAAAGAAGTATCAATTCAAAAAAAGTTAAAAGCCAAATGAAGACAAAGAGCATTAATAACTACAACCACCTAAAACACACAGACCAGCTCAAAAGACTTAAATGTCATAAATGAAGACACACTACCAGAAAAGACTTCCCTAGAAAACAGAGAAAAGGGAAAATTTAAATGTAAGGAGGAAAGACCGTCTGTTTACATACCTGGTTGCAAAAACACTTCAATTCTTTTCAGGTGCTAGGCAAAGCCGCAGTTAAAGGGGCTTTGAAATCAAGGATATTAAGCAGTTATAGTCCAGTCTCAGCTAGAGGTTCCAGGGCCGTAACACATAATTTCATGAGAGAAAAGTGCTACTATTGGTTCTCTTATTACAAAGGAGTTGATATTTCATTTGTTTGAAGGTCAATCATAACCCTGTAGCTCATGCTACTTTTTTATTGTTATTGCATTTTGGGTCAAGTTTGCTACTTTAAGCCTGCCTCAATTGTAATGCACTATACCAATGATTTTTTTACTGTCATAAATACTGCAGATGGTTTACTTCCTATGTATGTGCTAGCGAAAGAGTTTAATTTCTTTGTTTAAATCTGTACTGCTTGGACATGGAAATATTTTCTGTTTGTTTTACATACTAAAGCATGAAAATCTGAAGATAATGCTGCATTTCTATAAAAATCAGGTTTCTCTTACTCTGAAAACAGTATCTTAGAAAGCTATATTATATTTACAACCTTGATAATACCACCTCCTTACACAGCCTGACTGTACAACCTGACTCCAGACGGGCAGCCCTCATATGATCTTGAATTTAAGCTGCAAGTATTATCACTTCTGTCATGTTTGCTATAAATAAAATGGAACAATGTCAAAAGATGGCACTCAGCACAGAGACAGGGATGGCATCTAAAAAGAGTGCGACAAAACCTGTAGCAAAATCTGCATTAAAAAAATAAGCATATCAATTTTATAAAGTAACGATGCATAACTGCAGAATATCTTTTAAGAATTAAAAAAAACACCCCACAATGCTCTAAGAGACAACTGTTAAAATGTTAAAAAATGAACAGAGACTTTTCATCTGTTTAGGGTCCTAAAGATAAAAGGCTCTAGAGGAAAATTAAAATGAGTTCTAATGCCATTATAGTTGCATTTTAATAATGAATTTTGTCTACACTGACTTGTGCATGTATTATTTTTCATAGTTATTGCTTGTTTTCCCCGTTATCTTAGGCTGCAAGCTTGATTTCTTAAACATTAAAATGTTTAGCAGTTAAAAAGCTTTAATTCAGTATCCCTTTAAGATTTGTACCTTTTCTTTCCGCAACCGTTTCCTAAAATTCCAGCAGCAACTCAAGAACTGCTTTAAAAAAAATGGAGACAAACCTCCCTCTCAATCAGACGTTTAAAAACACATCACAAGAAAAAGAAAATTACAGCACGGTTCAAAATGTAATCCTAGGACAGGTTTTTTAAAATGCTCATTCAGAGGCATTCTCCACTTTCACATAAGTCAGCGGGAAATTTGCCACTGGCTTCAGCTGGAGCAGAGTCGGAGTTGTGATTATTTACGTAAACCTGTACCAGCCTGCCCTGGAAGGGATTAGGAGCGCTTAAAGGCAATCACTGGTCTGAGCTGAAGAGGGAGGCTGCGGAGGGGAGACATCCAAGAGGGTTCAGCTCATTCGGAAGCGAACATGAGACCATTGTTTTAGATGAACAGCAAGTGATTCTAAAAACCTCCATTAACGAACGTGTCTGCACGACCACACACAGGCACCGCAATCACGACACCCCTCTGCTCCTCTGACATCAGAAAGCCCTTTGGATAATGCTCAACACCTTAACGCCATCTTCATACGCTTGCACAGAGCTTCAGTTACCTCAAATTAAGACAATCCAGTGCATTGCATTCCAGAGAGGCCAAAAAATCGCTTACCTCATCCACGTTCTCGAAGGCATTGATGATGTCATAAGGTAAACAGGACAGAAGGTCAATCACAAACCACGTTTTCAAGTAGTTCATCCTTATGAGTTTGGGATCAGATATAACCTCTCCACCAGGGCCGACAAAGGTCGTATGAAAGTTCAAAACAATGTCAACCAGAAAAATAACGTCCACAACACTGTCCAGCACAAGCCAGGCAATGTTGTTCTGTTTCGTCTTGAAGGAGACGTTATATGGAACCATAATCGCTGTGTAGAAGGTTAGAATTAAGATGACCCAGTCCCAGGTGGTCTTAAAAGCACAATAATGTAGTATAATGTGTGGTGGAGTCTTTGGAGCTTCTTGCTTGTACTGAGGAAGAATATCAGATCCCAGCTGGAGAACCTAG